TATTTGACAGTTTACAAGCATGAAAACTTCCCAATCAACTGTTGTTATTGTTATAAACAGCCTCCTGGTGCTTCGGAGCTCATTAACTCTTTAATAATTGGAAACAAACCCGCCAAAGATTGAGAAAAGATGTACAGGTTCGTAAGTGTTTGCGTAAGTGCTTTCGTGAATCTGGCCCCTGGTGAGCTGGGGATATTAGAGGAACCTTGCCACCAAGTGTAACCCCTTCATTTATACCCGGGTAGTAGCCCAGTGCTGTGTACCTAACCCTGTTTACAAACAAACCCTAACTCATTCATTCTCTACTAAACTAAAAACAACTAATTATCATCAAATAACCTCTACGATGAAAGACTCAACTATCCTGTTCTCCCTTAAGAACCATTGCCTACAAGGAGACCCAACTGAAAAATGTACAAGATATTCAAGAAATTTTATACACTCAAGTACAACAAATATAAAGCTGCAAGGGAAATTAGTAACTAGAAACACCACGAAACTTTGACGTATAGAAATCACCAACACCATCAGTAATTACAAAATCCTGGAACTCCTCCATGGTGGAATCAAGAGAACATTACAGCCTCAAGTTAGAAGACACCTCCCAAGACGATGAAGCCCGGGTCTCACTCACACTTCATCTACACATTGAAAAATAAAATATTACTGACAAACTCGTGAGGACAGATTTGTTGTCCAAGAGGATCCTGCCGGCGAGGCTACGAACCCTGCCGGCGAGGCTACGAACCCTGCCGGCGAGGCTACGAACCCTGCCGGCGAGGCTACGAACCCTGCCGGCGAGGCTACGAACCCTGCCGGCGAGGCTACGAACCCTGCCGGCGAGGCTACGAACCCTGCCGGCGAGGCTACGAACCCTGCCGGCGAGGCTACGAACCCTGCCGGCGAGGCTACGAACCCTGCCGGCGAGGCTACGAACCCTGCCGGCGAGGCTACGAACGCTGCCGGCGAGGCTACGAACGCTGCCGGCGAGGCTACGAACGCTGCCGGCGAGGCTACGAACGCTGCCGGCGAGGCTACGAACGCTGCCGGCGAGGGTCGCTCCACAATACACCTGGGATGTCCCCTTCCCCCCCCCCCACAACACACCCGGGATGTGTCCCCCCCACAATACACCCGGGATGTGTCGCTCCACAATATAGGTGCTTAGATCCTCAACCACCTTTTGTCTGATTCCGTTACAAAAGGAGTTTACTCTAGAGAACAATTATATCTCCTCGCTCTAAACTCGCCACCAACTTTGTACTAAGAAAGGATTATATTTTCATTTATGCAATTATGCAATTCTAAGAGGCATTGGGGACTTCTGTGGACCCGTATTAAGTGCGCTCCAGTGACCCGTAACTATGTTCTCCACTGACGGTACTCCGGCCTCCCCTGCCATCACCCTGGAGGGGATAGCACCACCACCACCCTGGGGGACATAGCACCACCACCCTGCCATCACCCTGGAGGAGATAGCACCACCACCCTGCCATCACCCTGGAGGAGATAGCACCACCACCCTGCCATCACCCTGGAGGAGATAGCACCACCACCCTGCCATCACCCTGGAGGAGATAGCACCACCACCCTGGAGGAGATAGCACCACCACCCTGCCATCACCCTGGGGGAGATAGCAACACCACCCTGCCATCACCCTGGAGGAGATAGCACCACCACCCTGCCATCACCCTGGGGGAGATAGCAACACCACCCTGCCATCACCCTGGGGGAGATAGCACCACCACCCTGCCATCACCCTGGAGGAGATAGCACCACCACCCTGGAGGAGATAGCACCACCACCCTGCCATCACCCTGGGGGAGATAGCAACACCACCCTTCCATCACCCTGGGGGAGATAGCAACACCACCCTGCCATCACCCTGGGGGAGATAGCAACACCACCCTGCCATCACCCTGGGGGAGATAGCAACACCACCCTGCCATCACCCTGGGGGAGATAGCAACACCACCCTGCCATCACCCTGGGGGAGATAGCAACACCACCCTTCCATCACCCTGGGGGAGATAGCAACACCACCCTGCCATCACCCTGGGGGAGATAGCAACACCACCCTGCCATCACCCTGGGGGAGATAGCAACACCACCCTGCCATCACCCTGGGAGAGATAGCACCACCACCCTGCCATCACCCTGGGAGAGATAGCACCACCACCCTGGGTTAGATAGCATCATCACAGTGCTAGGGTGATACTCAAAATCAATGACGACGGAACTGAAAAGGAATATTGATCAATACACCAGCGGCGCCCCGGCAGTACTGACCGTGACCCCAGACAACTCTTGGAAGCAAGCAAAAACACTAGTTCCAACCACACACCAGGGGGCGCAGGGTAGCCTGCCCAACCACACACCAGGGGGCGCAGGGTAGCCTGCCCAACCACACACCAGGGGGCACAGGGTAGCCTGCCCAACCACACACCAGGGGGCGCAGGGTAGCCTGCCCAACCACACACCAGGGGGCGCAGGGTAGCATGCCCAACCACACACCAGGGGGCGCAGGGTAGCCTGCCCAACCACACACCAGGGGGCGCAGGGTAGCCTGCCCAACCACACACCAGGGGGCGCAGGGTAGCCTGCCCAACCACACACCAGGGGGCGCAGGGTAGCCTGCCCAACCACACACTAGGGGGCACAGGGGAATAGCCTGCCCCACCACACACCAGGGGGCGCAGGAGGGGGGCAGCCTGCCCCACCACACACCAGGGGACGCTGGGGGGGGGAGGGGCAGCCTGCCCCACCACACACCAGGGGACGCTGGGGGGGGAGGGGCAGCCTGCCCCGCCACACACCAGGGGGCGCAGGTCAAGCCAGTACCATCCGTAACACCGGATAGTGCAGGGCATATTCCTCCTACTGGACTTTACAATAAACTCAACTATGCCCGAGTCACTGAAGATGGAAGTCCTCTCAATTCATTCAAATTGACAGACCAGCGACATTGGATCCAAACTCATCCGTCGCTCTCACTCAACCTTACCATCCGTCACTCTCACTCAACCTTACCTTCCGTCACTCACTCAACCCTAATACCAAGTCCCTCCCATTTCACTCACTGGATACACAATACTTCTAGTATATGTGCTCACTTGGGTGGGAGGGAGATGCTCGCTAATTAGAACCGAGAATTTACCTTGTATTTATTTAGAAACGGGGGATTTAGAATCTTTAGATAGCAATATTGCAAATGAATGTTATTAAATAATATGACCTGCTAGCTAGAATGAATAGCAACACATTAATCCATTAGATAGAAATTAAAAGCAACATAGTATATTTTTAAACCACAAGTTTGAGTTTATTTAAAACATTAATAATTTGCAAGACATAATATCAGTAGTATTCTCTAAAAAATAAACACAATTAATATGGCATGAACTGCAACAGAAGAGAAGGAACTTACTGTACTCTCCAAGATCCATGTCTTCTATTTAACAAGAAAATCAGTAAAAGTATGACGTTAACATCTCCTCCTCCACTCTACCTGTCAGTACAACCCTCAGGCTGCTCCAAGACTAACTTCTTACGCTCTAAGATACTTCCCAACTGTTGACCAGACCACACACTAGAAGGTGAAGGGACAACGACGTTTCGGTTCGTCCTGGACCATTCTCAAGTCGATTCTTCCCAACTGACGCCCACACTTACGGAAAGCCAATCGCGGCTATTCTATGCTCAACAACCAATGACCAACATCTTCACAAAAGCGATGGACAAACCCACGCGCTGACTTGACTAGGCCTCTACTTTTAAAAATGGAGATCTGGTAAAAGCGGACGTTCGTAGGCCTACCGGATGGTATGTTGACCATTGACAGTTAGGTGTGACACAACTGGCAGCATTCACCTCGGCTCCAGACTGTTGCCTAACTGTTCTGTGACCGGACTACCTATCTCTACCTTTACTCAAGCTCTCCGCCCTTCATGGAGTGCTATCTTGAGGTTATCTTGAGATGATTTCGGGGCTAAGCGTCCCCGCGGCCCGGTCCTCGACCAGGCCTCCTTTTTGTTACACATCCCCAGGAAGCAGCCCGTAGCAGCTGTCTAACTCCCAGGTACCTATTTATTGCTAGCTAAAGAGGAGCATCAGGGTGAAAGAAACTCTGCCCATTTGTTTTCGCCTCCGCCGGGGATCGAACTTGGAACCTCAAGACTACGAATCCCGAGCGACGTCTACTCAGCCGTCAGCCCCTTTGTTCAACACATTTTCCCCATCTTCGTTCTCTGTTTTTTTATTTTTCTTCAAGAACTGTTCATTTTTGTTCAACACTTGCTAAGTCTTGTTCATGAATCATTCATTTTATCTCAATCCGTTCAGTGAATAACAGGAGGCTGAAGGCGGCCAAGGTGGCAAGCCAAGGTCTAGGTCAAGGGACAAGCGGAGGTCAAGGCGGTAAGCGGTCGAGGTGTCAAACGAAGGTCAAGATGTGGTGAGGGGGGGGGGGTGTAGGGGGAGGTGTTGTGTGGTGAAGGGTGGAGTGTGTGTGCTGGGGTGGGGGGGGGGGGCGTCTTGGTGTCCTTCAGTATACTCGGGCTGGTGCAGGTTGGGGTGTGATGGACAGTAGCCGGGGCAGACTGACCAGTGGGTGACACAGGACAGTAGCCGGGGTGGACTGACCAGTGGGTGACACAGGACAGTAGCCGGGGTGGACTGACCAGTGGGTGACACAGGACAGTAGCCGGGGTGGACTGACCAGTGGGTGACACAGGACAGTAGCCGGGGCGGACTGACCAGTGGGTGACACAGGACAGTAGCCGGAGCGGACTGACCAGTGGGTGACACAGGACAGTAGCCGGGGTGGACTGACCAGTGGGTGACACAGGACAGTAGCCGGGGTGGACTGACCAGTGGGTGACACAGGACAGTAGCCGGGGTGGACTGACCAGTGGGTGACACAGGACAGTAGCCGGGGCGGACTGACCAAAGACAAGAACAAGAGAGGTTGTGTGGGGGACACAGGGGTAAGGGGACTCACAGTGCTGGAGCTGGTGTGTGAGGCAGCAATGTGGGCGGCGAAGCACAGCGCGAAGGACAGCGCCGCTCTTCTTATACTCCAGGATCCCATCGTGGCTGTAACGATAAAACATCATCAGTTCCTGCAGGTGCAGGAGGCAAACTAATAATTAATTCATTAAATAAATGAGTCTCTAGGCCCAGGTTTCAGGTGAGCAACCGTAGGATAACAGCTCTTGGCTTTCAGTTTCCTTAGGAACACTTTTGGCACTCCTAATGAAATTATATATATACATAGTGAGAAAATTCGCCCAAAGAATGTGTTATATTTGCCACATTTTTCTGGTTTTGGAAATATGGTCAAGGTCTTGAAACTTTTGATATACATGTATTGTTTAATTACGAAAATACTGTTTGTAAACTATTAGTTAGAAACAGCCCTCGCAGTGATAATTGTGTCATTTATAAAATACCTTGTAAAGACTGTAATAGGTTCTATGTTGGGCAAACATCTAAAGATTTGAAATGTAGAATTTTGCAACATAAATACTCTAAGACATGGCCAATTGTCTAATGCTTTGTTCATTTGTCAGAAAATTCTCACCAAAGTGATTGGGAGATGAATTCTTCAATAACGAATTATAAAATCACTTTCAATAGAAGCATAATTTAATCTGCTTTAATACAGATTACAAAATCATGTAATTTGAACATTGGCAGTTGTTTGTATAATTTAGATCCATTTTTGTTTATCAGTTAAAGGGCGATTTGAGTAGGATCATTGATACCCATTTGTCTCACTAATTCATTGTTAATATCAATAGTAATATCTTATGCTATTATTATCCATGTCTGGGCCTATCGGCCCATATGATGCAGTTCTTATTTATATCCACCTAATCCCAGTCATATATTTGTCATTGTACCTCACCTCACTTCACCTCTCTCTCCTGCCTATATATATGTCCAAACTTACTGACTTGTAAATCATTCCTTCTGAAGATGTATTATTAAATTCGAAAGTACTTAATAAATTCCTATTTCAGTTCTTCCTCCGTAGTCTGACACATTTCTCATCACGTGTTAATTTCCGTGATTTACACACACACACACACACACACACACATATATATATATATATATATATATATATATATATATATATATATATATATATATATATATATATATATATATATATATGTGTGTGTGTGTGTGTGTGTGTGTGTGTGTGTGTGTGTGTGTGTGTGTGTGTGTGTGTGTGTGTGTGTGTGTGTGTGTGTGCGTGTGTGTGTGTGTACTCACCTAATTGTGCTTGCGGGGGTTGAGCTCTGGCTCTTTGGTCAGAGTGTGTGTGTGTGTGTGTGAGTGTGTGTGTGTGTGTGTGAGTGTGTGTGTGTGTGTGTGTGTGTGTGTGTGTGTGTGTGTGTGTGTGTGTGTGTGTGTGTGTGTGTGTGTGTGTGTGTGTGTGTGGTGATCAGCACTCAGCATCAGCTCCAGTAAGATCTAGGTGGAGGAGAGCGCCTCCTCGACCACAACACAAGGTCAACCCACACCATCATAAGGGCCAGAATGACGTAACTTCACCCTATAGAATCTTCCTTACAGGCGGTGCTGACAAGACAGGCTAGGAAGACTGTGTATGCCTCAAAGTCCAGGTATAGCTGTATGTCTTTGGAAGGTCAGAGGTGACTGTGTTCCTTAATTGTCCGCACCAGAAGGGCAGAACACCCAACCCCTCCCGACCTTTCCCATCCCGCCCACACTAACACCCGCCTCGTCCGACCCGCCCACACTAACACCCGCCTCGTCCGACCCGCCCACACTAACACCCGCCTCGTCCGACCCGCCCACACTAACACCCGCCTCGTCCGACCCGCCCACACTAACACCCGCCTCGTCCGACCCGCCCACACTAACACTCAAGACGAAGTTAGAGAAGATTCAGAGGTATGCCACCAGACTGGTCCCTGAACTGAGAGGAATGAGTTACGAGGAAAGGCTAAGGGAGCTGAACCTCACAACCCTGGAAAACAGGGTTGTGAGGTTCAGGGGAGACATGATAACCACCTACAAAATTCTCAGGGGAATTAACAGGGTGGACAAAGACAAACTCTTCAGCACGGGTGGAACACGAACAAGGGGACACAGGTGGAAACTTAGTACCCAGATGAGCCACGGAGACGTTAGAAAGAATTTTTTCAGTGTCAGGGTAGTTAACAAATGGAATGCATTAAGTAGTGTTGTGGTGGAGGCTGACTCCATACACAGTTTCAAATGTAGATATGATAAGAACCTAGTAGGCTCAGAAACCTGTACACCAGTTGATTGACAGTTGAGAGGCGGGACCAAAGAGCCAGAGCTCAACCCCCGCAAACACAACTAGGTGAGTACACTATACACAAATACTATTCCTACTGATCTAGGTTCTCAACGTGGTCGGAGAGGATTGACTAGGCGCCAATCCTTAACTGTTCATCTCTGTTCACCCAGCAGTAAGCGTGTACCTGGTTGTTAACCGACTGGCGGGTCGTGTTCCAGGGGTAACTAGTGGGTAAGGCTGAGTTATAGCTGAAATAAGGGAAGGGAAAGCTCTCAGTCTGCTAACAGGAGTCGGAAGTCGTCTGCTCCTGTGGATAAGGCTGTACCTGTACACAGGTTTTTTGTCTGTGTAAAGAAGAAAAAGTCAAGCCAATAAAGGATATGATATCCTCCTCCCCCCCCCTTCTTGCTTCACAAGGTCTGCGTGAAGCCTTCCTGCTTCATCCGAGCCCGTACTCACCTCCACTCATTAATGATTCATAGATCTGCGAAGCGCTCGGACATTTAAGTGTGTACTCACCTATTTGTGCTTGTACTCACCTATTTGTGCTTGTACTCACCTATTTGTGCTTGTACTCACCTATTTGTGCTTGTACTCGCCTATTTGTGCTTGCAGAATCGAGCATTGACTCCTGGATCCCGCCTTTTCAGCCATCGGTTGTTTACAGCAATGACTCCTGTCCCATTTCCCTATCATACCTAATTTTAAAATTATGAATAGAGTTTGCTTCCACAACCCGTTCCCCAAGTGCATTCCATTTTTCCACTACTCTCACGCTAAAAGAAAACTTCCTAACATCTCTGTGACTCATCTGGGGTTCCAGTTTCCACCTATGTCCCCTCGTTCTGTTATTATTATGTGTGAACATTTCATCTATTTCCACTTTGTCAATTCCCCTGAGTATTTTATATGCCCCTATCATATCTCCTCTCCTGTGTACTAGCCTAGTTGTGCTTGAGAGGTTTGAGCTGAAGCTCTCCGGTCCAAATAGTCCAAACAGAGTCGAAAGTGTTTTGGACAAATTGCCTTTTGTGGAAAGTCAGAGTAAAAGAGTCCAACGTTTTCACAAGAGTCCAAAAAACTTGTAAAGTCTTTTTGGACTCTTGTCATATTTTCATTTGATGGACTGCCTCGGCCACACCTGAGGCCCCTCACTGCTCTCACGGTGTCCTCCTCACACACCTGTGTGGCTCATCATGCTACTGACGGTGTACACAACTCACATACTTTTCAAGTACAGTTTGTGCAAAAATTTTGTATTATGTTTTCATGTACTTTTTATAGCACATATCTTTTTGTGTGTGTGTATTCACCTAGTTGTGCTTGCGGGGGTTGAGCTCTGCTCTTTGGGCCCGCCTTTCAACTGTCAATCAACTGTTATTAACTACTATTTTTTTCCACAACCCACACACACACACACACACACACCAGGAAGCAGCCCGTGACAGCTGACTAATTCCTAGGTACCTATTTACTGATTGGTAACAGGGGCACAGCCAGGCTGTGGTGGGTATGTGGGCCTGCGGGCCGCTCCAAGCAACAGCCTGGTGGGCCAAACTCTCACAAGTCGAGCCTGGCTTCGGGCCGGGCTTGGGGAGAAGAAGAACTCCCAGAACCCCATCAACCAGGTCAACCAAGCATCAGGATGAAAGAAACTCTGCCCATCGTTTCTAGCCGGCGCCGGGAATCGAACCCGGGCCACAGGATCACGTGTGCACAATAAACTACCGTTCACTGGACGAGTATGGGGTGCACAATAAACTACCGCTCACAGGACGAGTATGGGGTGCACAATAAACTACCGTTCACAGGAGGAGCATGGGGTGCACAATAAACTACCGCTCACAGGAGGAGTATGGGGTGCACAATAAACTACCGCTCACAAGACGAGTATGGGGTGCACAATAAACTACCGCTCACAGGACGAGTATGGGGTGCACAATAAACTACCGTTCACAGGACGAGTATGGGGTGCACAATAAACTACCGTTCACAGGACGAGTATGGGGTGCACAATAAACTACCGTTCACAGGACGAGTATGGGGTGCACAATAAACTACCGCTCACAGGACGAGTATGGGGTGCACAATAAACTACCGCTCACAGGACGAGTATGGGGTGCACAATAAACTACCGCTCACAGGACGAGTATGGGGTGCACAATAAACTACCACACGTCATCAGCAGCTGGAGCTTGACACGCCTGGGACAATGTGCCTTCTCTTGATTCTTATATTATTATTATAATGTTATATTATTATAATGTTATATTCTTATATTATTATTATAAGAGTTATATTACTGTTATGCATCAAGCACTCTCAGCAATACAGAACATGAGCCAGTTAGAAGGAGGATAAGTCAGAACAAACAGGAATGAGTTGAGATGACTTAAGGTGGGTAAGGATACTCCTGACAAAACTAGAGATGAATATGAATCAGTACAACAAGAGCGGGGTTGTCTGGAGATGAATAGGAATGATTCAAGTGCGTTTCCGTCTTATAAATATCTTGGAATCCAGGTTAATGATGCAAATCTCATCAGCAACCTGCGCAAAAAACTTGTTGAGCGTCTTAAATCTCACAAAACTCTTGTTGGCAAAGGATTTGGCTTTAACATAACATATGCTCGTAGTTTTTATATTGCCTTTATACGATCTGTTGTTGATTATTTTACCTTGCATCGTCTTAATTTTTCTCCTAAACAACTACAAGGCCTAAGTGTAGTACAGAATGATGCCATGCGCATCATCCTGGGTTGTCCTAGAACTGTCAGAATTGTTAACATGAGAAAGGAACTAAAATTACATTTTATTTACGAGAGAATAGTTCTACTTAGTACTATGTTTTGCGCCAAAACTTTGAAAAATAATGGTCCCCCCCCCCCAGCTGTATTGAAATTAAATTGAGATCCATTCTAAACAATTCTGACTGTTCTCTCAATCCGCCGCAAAAAGCTCCTTACAGTGTGTGGCTCAGTTGTTGTGCCAGTAATCTTATGAAACTGAATGTCTCTCAATCCTCATAAAACTGTTCCCCCCCTTGGACAAAAGGTGCAGGTCTCTATACATTATACACCCATCAGTGTAAAACAAGTCTATAACACTGAAACTATGAGATGTATAACACTAGAAGCTATTTCCATCTTCAAAATCTCAAACCAACTGAATCCTATACCTTTCTGATGGTTGTGTGCAATTAGGCACTTGCAGAACAGGCTGTTCATGTGGTTATCTTCTTGAGGTTATCTTGAGATGATGTCGGGTCTAAGCGTCCACGCGGCCCGGTCTTCGGGGACCAGGCCTCCTTTTTGTTACACCCCCCCCCCCAGGGTGTTGATTATTATGCCTGATTATTATGATAATTAATCATAGTAATCATAATAATTATGTAATTAATTTTGTGCACAATAGAAAGTTGGATTTACAAATTCGTAAATTGAAACATGTATAGTCTAATGCAGTTGACTGTAACTACGATACATATATTAGGCAAAATTGTAATTAATTTCGTCAATGAAGATGTTAATAATAAAGTGCACTTATGATAATGGTTGTGTGCGCGCGCGCGCGTGTACTGCCTTACGGAGCCCGGTTCCAACCTGTTTGGTTGACAGACAATGACGTAGGTGAGTGGAGCCCTAGCGACCATAGACCAGGTAATATGGTAGTGGGTGTAGGGATGGCGCCGGCAGCCAGTCCTGCTGGCGGGAGGTGGTGGTGGGGGGTGGCTGTAGGAGAGGGGGCGGGGGGGGGCCAAGGAAGAAGGGGGGGGGCCTAGGAAGAAGGGGGGGCGGGGACCTGAGAAGAAGGGGGGGCGGGGACCTGGGAAGAAGGGGGGGGGCGGGGACCTGGGAAGAAGGGGGAGGGGGAAGGACAAGGTAACCATCGCAATATTATTTAACATGGACAGTCAGGGAAATCAATATATCTTAGGTGATGGTCTCCGTGACACTTAGTCCCCCCCTCCCCCCACCTTGTCCCCTTAGCAGTAGTCCCCCGTGGTGCAGTGGTAGACACTCCCCTGGCGTTTCACGAGCGCTTTGGCTTGGGTTCGAATCCTGGCCGGGTACCAATCCTTAACTGTAGCCTCTGTTACCTCAGCAGTGAATGGGTACCTGGTTGTTAAACGATTTGGTGGGTCGTATTCCGGGGAACATAGGATTAAGGACTTGCCGGAAACGCTACATGTGCTAGTGGCTTTACAAGAATGTAAAAACTCTTGTATATATCAATTAACCCTTAATCCTAATTTATAACATGGGGCGCCTGACAGCTGAGTGGACAGGGCTTCGGATTCGTAGTCCTGAGGTTCCGCGTTCGATCCCAGGTAAAGACGGAGACAAATGGGCAAAAAAATTCTTTCACCCTGATGCCCCTGTTACCTAGCAGTAAATAGGTATCTGGGAGTCAGACAGCTGCTCCGGGCTGCTTAATGGGGATGTGTAACAAAATCCGAAATCATCTCAAGATAACCTCAAGAAGATGGTGACGAGCTCGCAGGAGTAGGAAAGGGGAGTGGGGGAAATTAATAAATATATTATATTATATATATATATATATATATATATATATATATATATATATATATATATATATATATATATATATATATATATATATATATAAATGTCAAGTGTTTACAGGTGAACAATTATGTACCTTTCAAGGAAGAACACTAGTGTTAAAAGGCTGGCAGCGAGCCCCGGTGTCTTGGCTGCACAAGACATATCTTGGCCCTGTTTCGTATGCAAATCAGGCCCAGCCTCCCTCTCTATACAATGAGACTATGCATGTTAAACACCTAACAGACACAGACAGACACACACACACACACACACACACACACACACACACACACACACACACACACACACACACACACACACACACACACACCGGCGCCAGGGTCGTCTGCGGGAATGGCGAAGTAATTTCTGCCAATGGCAAGAGGGTTGGAACCTGGAACCTACCTACCCCTGAGCCATGTATAGCAAGTGAGAGGTCGGGCTGGTCAAGACGACGACGAGAGAGAGAGAGAGAGAGATATGGGATGATGGAAGAGGTGGACGGAAGGAGAAGTGTAGAAATGAGTACGAATGAGTAAGGAGACCTACGACTAGTGAGCCCTACGGGCTCAGCATTGCCCGCGCCACTTCGAACATTTTGTTCAGAGTAGCTGAATGTAAAAACAACATCGACTAGCGAGCCTAGACCCGAGGACGGCGGGTACGGGAACACGGTCCGACACCTCTCCCGCTGGCCGTCACAAGCACCCTGGCGCGTGTGAACGGTGCTTCCGCCGCCAGGAGCCCCACAGCGCGCGCCTCGGCGGCTACGCGCGGGGCCGGAGTCCGTGCTCCGGTAACTTAGTTTTTGCTCCAGTAAATACCTGGTGATGGTACCCGCGTGGCGCCCTCCTCTCACTCACCCGGCCTCTGAATCATCGTAATCCCGCGTTACTTGTATCTGATCTGATTAAGTGCTAATTAATAACATTAGTACTTCAATTGTTATGTTCCTCGCGCACCGTTATTTTAATATTTCAGTTTGATTATCCCTTTCCTGGTGTACGCGTTGCTCCTGTTTGTGACACAGCAACAGAACCTGCTGTTGTTCTTGGGGCCGATAAAGTGTTTCTTGGATACTTAATTAAGTTTAGTTCCTTCCTTCAGCTATCAAGAGCGGCATCAGCAACAGCCGTTCTATTAGTAGTAGTAAAAAAAACTATTCATTATTAAACATCTGCAGCAAAGGAGTGCATGTTGTCGCCAGTATCGTGGCCTGACAGACAGGTATTGTGGTCAGAGGCAGGAACACCGCCACCCAGACAACACCTGTTGAGGTGACTGTGGCAACACCTGCCGGAGGAACACCTCTGAGCAACACCTCAGAGCGTCACCACGAGGGGGAGCGTCACCACGAGGGGGAGCGTCAACACGAGGGGGAGCGTCACCACGAGGGGGAGCGTCACCACGAGGGGAGCGTCACCACGAGGGGGAGCGTCACCACGAGGGGGAGCGTCACCACGAGGGGGAGCGTCACCACGAGGGGAGCGTCACCACGAGGGGAGCGTCACCACGAGGGGAGCGTCACCACGAGGGGAAGCGTCACCACGAGGGGAGCGTCACCACGAGGGGGAGCGTCACCACGAGGGGGAGCGTCACCACGAGGTGGAGCGTCACCACGAGGGGAGCGTCACCACGAGGGGAGCGTCACCACGAGGGGGAGCGTCACAACGAGGGGAGCGTCACCACGAGGGGAGCGTCACCACGAGGGGAGCGTCACCACGAGGGGAGCGTCACCACGAGGGGAGCGTCACCGCGATGGGAGCGTCACCGCGATGGGAGCGTCACCACGAGGGGAGCGTCACCACGGGGGGGAGCGTCACCACGAGGGGGAGCGTCACCACGAGGGGAGCGTCACCACGAGGGGAGCGTCACCACGAGGGGAGCGTCACCACGTGGGGAGCGTCACCACGAGGGGAGCGTCACCACGAGGGGAGCGTCACCACGAGGGGAGCGTCACCACGAGGGGAAGCGTCACCGCGAGGGGAGCGTCACCGCGATGGGAGCGTCACCACGAGGGGAGCGTCACCACGAGGGGAAGCGTCACCGCGAGGGGAGCGTCACCGCGAGGGGAGCGTCACCACGAGGGGAGCGTCACCACGAGGGGAGCGTCACCACGAGGGGGAGCGTCACCACGAGGGGAAGCGTCACCACGATGGGAGCGTCACCGCGAGGGGAGCGTCACCGCGAGGGGAGCGTCACCACGAGGGGAGCGTCACCACGAGGGGGAGCGTCACCGCGATGGGAGCGTCACCACGAGGGGAGCGTCACCACGAGGGGAAGCGTCACCGCGAGGGGAGCGTCACCGCGAGGGGAGCGTCACCACGAGGGGAGCGTCACCACGAGGGGGAGCGTCACCACGAGGGGAGCGTCACCACGAGGGGGAGCGTCACCACGAGGGGGAGCGTCACCACGAGGGGGAGCGTCACCACGAGGGGGAGCGTCACCACGAGGGGAGCGTCACCACGAGGGGAGCGTCACCACGAGGGGAGCGTCACCACGAGGGGAGCGTCACCGCGAGGGGGAGCGTCACCGCGAGGGGAGCGTCACCGCGAGGGGGAGCGTCACCGCGAGGGGGGGCGTCACCACGAGGGGGAGCGTCACCACGAGGGGAGCGTCACCACGAGGGGGAGCGTCACCACGAGGGGGAGCGTCACCACGAGGGGAGCGTCACCACGAGGGGAGCGTCACCACGAGGGGGAGCGTCACCACGAGGGGGAGCGTCACCACGAGGGGGAGCGTCACCACGAGGGGAGCGTCACCACGAGGGGAGCGTCACCACGAGGGGGAGCGTCACCACGAGGGGAGCGTCACCACGAGGGGAGCGTCACCACGAGGGGAGCGTCACCGCGAGGGGAGCGTCACCGCGAGGGGAGCGTCACCACGAGGGGGAGCGTCACCACGAGGGGGAGCGTCACCACGAGGGGGAGCATTACCACGAGGGGAGGTCCACCACGAGGGGAGCGTCACCACGAGGGGAGCGTCACCACGAGGGGGAGCGTCCCCACGAGGGGAGCGTCACCACGAGGGGGAGCGTCACCACGAGGGGAGCGTCACCACGAGGGGAGCGTCACCTCGAGGGGAGCGTCACCGCGAGGGGAGCGTCACCACGAGGGGGAGCGTCACCGCGAGGGGAGCGTCACCACGAGGGGGAGCATCACCGCGAGGGGGAGCGTCACCACGAGGGGGAGCGTCACCACGAGGGGGAGCGTCACCACGAGGGGGAGCGTCACCACGAGGGGGAGCGTCACCACGAGGGGGAGCGTCACCACGAGGGGAAGCGTCACCACGAGGGGAAGCGTCACCACGAGGGGGAGCGTCACCACGAGGGGAAGCGTCACCACGAGGGGAAGCGTCACCACGAGGGGGAGCGTCACCACGAGGGGAAGCGTCACCACGAGGGGAAGCGTCACCACGAGGGGAAGCGTCACCACGAGGGGGAGCGTCACCACGAGGGGGAGCGTCACCGCGAGGGGAAGCGTCACCGCGAGGGGAAGCGTCACCGCGAGGGGAAGCGTCACCACGAGGGGGAGCGTCACCGCGAGGGGAAGCGTCACCGCGAGGGGAAGCGTCACCAGCGGGCTCCCAGAGGAGGTCAGTTCTACGAATTTGTGATTTTATTATTGATAAATCCATATTAAGTCACAGAAATCCGCACTGGGATAGACTACCTTTGATCGATGTTCGCTGGTTGTGTTTAAGAGAATAAACACAAAGATAAACTGGTAAAGCTTCCACAAAACCCCAGCCTCCATATGCTAGTGTTTCCTCTCAACACAACTGGTGGCAGGTGGACCACGTGTTATAAATAAATAATAATATAATAAATAAATGTTTATTCAGGTAAGGTACATACAAGAGATTTTACAAAAATTGATCGATTTATAGATAGAGCTAGTACATACAATGCCTAAAGCCACTATTACGCAAAGCATTTAGGATAATGCTTGCAGTGTTATGATCACCCGTCTTGCTGGTACGTCGGGTCGGGTTGTTGTGCTCGTGTTGCTCTGGAAGAAGTCAGTGACCCCGGGAGACGTTCAGTAATGCGGTCAAGAAAAAGTCCAAAGATATGTCACTAGACGAATCCCAGATCTGAGGAGCATTAATTACGACTAAAGAAATTGTACGTTACATCGCTGGATGATTAAAAAAAATGGGAGACATGAAGACGACATACAAAATACTCTTAAGTGTTAATTACAGGCATGGAAAAATCACAATTTGACACGGACGGTACACAAAACATGGGGAGACAGGTACAAACGTAATGTTATAGCCTTATAACACATGGTAGAGCGGGAACCAAGAGATGAACTTTAACCCCCGCAAGCATAGATAGGCGAGTGTTCGCGCATACGCACACACACGTCTTAGTGTCAGAATAGTTAACAAATGGAATGCATTAAGTAGTGATGTGGTGGAAGCAGACTCCATACATAGTTTCAAATGTAGAATTGATATAGCCCAGTAGGCCCAGGAATCTCTACACCGGTTGAGTGAGAGAGAAGTAGGACCAAAGAACCAGAGCTCAACCCCCGCAAGCACAACTAGGTGAGTACACACACACGCACATTGGTGAAAGCAATGACATGCACGCGCGCGCGTACACCAACAAACCCACCCCAGAGCACAAAGTGACATCCCAGGGCGCGATGAGGTCTTTGTGAGGTCCAGCCCCCCCTCCCCCCCTCTACTCCCTGCGCCTCCTTCCTTCTTGTAAACTCATTCACTTCAACATTACATTATTGAATGTCGAACTGTACAAGAATTTAGACCTCCTGGCCTGTTGTATACCCAAAATTGAAACTAATCATATTTGATTAAATGAAGTATATTAGAAGATCCTAACTTAGACATCCTAACGAAATTCTTAGACAACATAACAATTCATCCTACATTTGCTTGTCCGTTTTAAAGAATGAAAAACGGGAATTGCATTTATTTCTTTATTTTTTAAGGTGTACATCTCATGAATTTGTCTTTGCCTCGTGTGGTAGTGAACAACAGAAAGTTGCATTTACAAATTCGTAAATTAAAAAAATGCATAATTTCTTATGCCTCATGAACTGTAACCTCATGAAATCTATATATGTGCTTCAATCTACAATTTAGACACATTAGTCTTGTGTGTGACCCTCTGCCCTGTGTGGCGGTGAATACGGTCACCACCTCACTGCCCTGTGTGGCGGTGAATACGGTCACCACCTCACTGCCCTGCGTGGCGGTGAATACGGTCACCACCTCACTGCCCTGTGTGGCGGTGAATACGGTCACCACCTCACTGCCCTGCGTGGCGGTGAATACGGTCACCACCTCACTGCCCTGCGTGGCGGTGAATACGGTCACCACCTCACTGCCCTGTGTGGCGGTGAATACGGGCACCACCTCACTGCCCTGCGTGGCGGTGAATACGGGCACCACCTCACTGCCGTGTGTGGCGGTGAATACGGGCACCACCTCACTGCCCTGTGTGGCGGTGAATACGGGCACCACCTCACTGCCGTGTGGCGGTGAATACGGGCACCACCTCACTGTAATAACACCCAATTCAATGATTCACATTATTCAAAATTGTATACTTCGTCAATAAAGATATTAATGATAATTGGTCGCTCTACGAGCCACAAGGTCGTGCGTCTTGGAGCGCTTAATGACGCATTCTAGAGGCGCACGGACGCTCACTCCCCGTACACAATTAATGCCTCACACACGCACGCACGCACGCACGCACAGCTCCCCACAATGCAACATAAAGATTCCGACAATCATCTTTGGAACCAAATTCTTTGAGAATATATCAGTAAATATAGGAAAAGTATGTCACGTGAATTAATATTCGAGTCTTGGCGTTATCTGGGAAAGGTTTTCGATCCTCGGGCATCGCTGGCGGTGTTGGAGGGAGTGGGGGGCGGGGAGGGAGAGGGGGAAGAGAATAGAGAGAGATAGAGAGAGAGAGAGAGAGAGAGAGAGAAAGAGAGAGTGTGTAACAGCTAAGATGAATATGAAAGGAGCCTAATCACTTTATCTCATCACATTACTAACATTACCGCAGTTCACTTGTGTTTGTGTCGTACCTCACTCTGTAAAGTTGTTGACATATATTAGGAACAGGATGGTGGCAATAGCTTGAGCTACCTCATCCCTTCGTGTGAACTTTACCTCAATAAGCTTATTTCAATTTCAGTACCGACCCTTGAGGTACTCCACTCATTACCTCTCTCCAGTCTGATCTCTCACCTCTTACTGTGACCCTTTGCCTCCTTCCTCTCCTGTTTGAATGTTGGCGCGCGCGCGCGCGTGTGTGTGTGTGTGTGTGTGCGCGCGCGCGCACTACAGCATCACCTCGCCACACCCGGATGTCTCGCGTCTTTTGTCTCACGACCCGGGGAAAAGGAAAAAATCTAAAAAACAAGATAAAAGTCCCATGAAGGACTCCACCACTCCGTGTTGTCTCGGGGCCACTCTTGGCTGCGTCCACGTCCCCTGGAACTGTGTCCACGGCCCCTGGAACTGCGTCCACGTCCCCTGGAACTGCGTCCACGGCCCCTGGAACTGCGTCCACGGCCCCTGGAACTGCGTCCACGGCCCCTGGAACTGCGTCCACGGCCCCTGGAACTGCGTCCACGGCCCCCTGGAACTGCGTCCACGGCCCCCTGGAACTGCGTCCACGTCCCCCTGGAACTGCGTCCACGTCCCCCTGGAACTACGTTGGGGGCCTGACGGCTGAGTGGACAGCGCTCGGGATTCGTAGTCCTAAGGGACCGGGTTCGATTCCCAACGGAGGCGGAAAGAAATGGGCAGAATTTCTTTCACCTTGATGCCCCTTTTCACCTAGCAGTAAACAAGTACCAGGGAGTTAGACAGCTGCTACGGGCTGCTTCCTCTGTGTGTGTGTGTGTGTGTGTGTGTGTGTGTGTGTGTGTGTGTGTGTGTGTGTGTGTGTGTGTGTGTGTGTGTGTGTGTAAACCAGTTAATTGACAGTTGAGAGGCGTGCCCAAAGAGCCAGAGCTCAACCCCCGCAAGGACAACTAGGTGAGTACAGAGCCCACCACACTACCGGTCTGCATGATGAAGGCAGCCACTGGCTATTTTGGGCGGGCCAAGCAAGAGGCAGAAGGCACGACAGCGTCAGGATGCGGCTGGTGGACTCCGAGCGGGGCTGCGGGGTCTGCAGCTCGGAGCCCCGCACGCGCCACAGATCACACACACACGCACAAGACACTGCGCCAAGTATACCACCACACCACAGTGAAGCACTCAAACAAGATGTCACAGTGAAGCACTGACAATGAAGCAAGCAGCCAAGCACAGGACGCCACAATGAAGCAAGCAGCCACGCACAGGACGCCACAGTGAAGCAAGCAGCCGCGCACAGGACGCCACAGTGAAGCAAGCAGCCACACACAGGACGCCACAGTGAAGCAAGCAGCCACGCACTGGACGCCACAGTGAAGCAAGCAGCCACGCACAGGACGCCACAGTGAAGCAAGCAGCCACGCACAGGACGCCACAATGAAGCAAGCAGCCACGCACTGGACGCCACAATGAAGGAAGCAGTCACGCACGGGACGCCACAGTGAAGCAAGCAGCCACGCACTGGACGCCACAGTGAAGCAAGAACATCACCAATAAAATAACAACACTCTCAACCTAACACACAATACACCACAACCATCCCACGACATCTAACGTTTCCCCCAAATGTTCAAAACGGCAAAAAATAATGCTGAACATAAGGAACTGCAGTAGTACACTGGGAGTTCTCACGTCCCAAACCCAAGTCCCCGACCCATAAAGTGGTCTGTATGGCCTCCTTGGGCAACTGCGTCGTGGTGGCCCGCAAGGTGAACAGCCTAACCCACAAAAACTTACAAAACAATACCATGCTGTCACTACACTAATTCTCTAAGATCCAGAAGAAAGGGATCAGTATTTAAATGCAAACTTCATGAAGTATATATATATACAAAAGAGTATAATCTTGAATCGTAAACATATCTTTTGTCTTAAATACATTGCAAAGCCGCAGGATGTAATATTTTTTTCCGTGCATAGTTTGATAATGGTTGCCCCTCCCTCCCTCCCCCCCCCCCCGTGAGCAAGAAGAGGGCGCCAGCCACAACTGGTAAACATAGTGTCCTCTGAGAGTTACAGCCCCGCTCCTTTACACCACCGACCACGAGATGGGTATGGGGTGCATAATAAAGAAAGAAATTGAATTCCTGCGCCAGGTAAGTCCACTATGGGCTCACCATAGCCCGTGCTACTTGGCACATTTTGTTCCAAGTAATTGAATCTAAAACAAACATTCTGTTCTCTGCCGTTATCACCTCCATCCTCTACGCACTAGTTCCTATTAAAAGTTATGACAACTTTTGTAATAATAGGTATTTGTATGGTCAGCACAGTAACCGGACCAGGCAATGTGATGTAGTCATTGTGGTAATTCACCTTGGCTATAGACACATCTGGCAGGTTAGTGAGGCTGAGCCACTACCAGAATACTCAGATTGTAAACTCTGCGATAAACCTGTAATGCATTCACTAGAACACTATATTGTTGAATGTGAAACCGTAAAGGACTTTAGACCTCCTGGCCTCTTGTACCACCAACTGTGTAACTATTTCATTGACTCAG